TCTATTTTTAGTCACAAGTGCCGAGCGGCCGATTGCCATCGAGTCACAGGCCTGCATTTCTTCGAGACAAAACCCTACATGGCCAGGATCAAGCACGCCCAGGCCAAGTGGGAAGGCTTCTTGGCGCAGATGGGAGGGAAGAAGATGTGCAGCTCAATACTAAATGTGCGGAAGTTGGCCTGGTGCGATGAGACGCTGCTGTATAGGATCATAACCGATGTGAGTGTGTGGAGGGGTGGTGTGGGGGTGTGAGGTGGAATATGTACTACAAGTACACTGGTGGTATAGGATAATGACCGATGTAAATGTGTGAGGGTGTGGAGTGGGAATGTACTACAAGTACAACATGGTGTAGGTTTGTGTACTATCGCCTTTGTAGTTTGATAATTGCGAATATATATATAAAGATATATATACGATAATTTATGTATATTATGAACTTTGGAGGAGCGTATGAGCTGAATTCACAGATGCGTACGGAGATGCGCAGCACAGAACTCAGTGTACGCATATTGGCGTGATGTGATGATCCACTGCAATACAGGGTATTGACTGATGTAAGTATGTAGGTATAGAATATGTAGTCATGCAAGTAATGAAGTACGTAGGTGTGTAAGTGTGTAAGTATGTAGATATGTATGTATGTGAGTTCAAATATGTAGTTGCTGGTATGTTTTTATCGAGTTGACGATGGAACGGATGTGTTTGTGAGATGATATATATATATATAATATTTGGACGGTTGATACCAGTCTAGTACAGATGAAGGGTGGTTGTAGGGGTTGTGGAAGATGCATAGCGCAGCACTCAACCTGCGCTAGCTGGCTGTGATTGATACCGTATAGACCTGTACGTATATTCTGTAGTACCACTTGCACGGGTAAGCTGCTGCAGATTGTGTATCCAAACTCAGTATGAGTTCGTCTCCTTCACTAGTCTGAACTCCCAAAACCCTAAAACCCTAAAACCCTGAACGTACAGTCAGGCATGAGTGTACCCACTCGCCAGCAATGGTTCAGGCCCCACCACGGGGTGCACATCCGCATCTACAGCAAGGGGCGAAAGGCCGTCCCGGAATACGCACGTCAACTAGAAGCGGTACTACACAACCACCTGGAAGCTCTGGTGCCATACATCTACGACCATGGCAATCAGTCGGAACTGGCCTTATGCATCTCCACGTTCCTGCAGAAAGAAAACTACGATCTGTACTCGTAAGTGACGTTGATACGTATATATATATATATATATATATATATTGTGTGTGTGTGTGTGTGCGTGTGTATGCATAAGTATGTATGTGTATGTGTGTCATGTATATGTATATGTATATACATATGTATTTGTATATATTTATGTATTTATATATATATATATATGTGTGTGTTTGTGTATGTGCATATGTATGTGTATGTGTTTATATGTATATATATGTATATATATATATGTGTGTGTGTGTGTGTATATGTGTATCTATATATATATATATATATATATATATATATATATATATTTAGATATATATATATATATATAAATATATGTATATCTGTATATCTATGTATCTATATCTCTACCTATATGTATATATATAAATATATATATATGTATGTATTATATATGTATGTATGTATGTTTATATCTATATTTATTTATTTATGTATATATATATAAATATATATATAATCTGCATAAAGCTTGAGGTGTTTGCTGTTCTGTATCATGGCCTGAAAGTATTGTTTACCATCTCCGTACTATCTGTCAGCATCGATGGCTGTCTCTTATCATACTGGAGCAATCACATTATCAAACCACTTCGTACATTCACTGTCTTCCATATCAAACTGAATGTACACTTAAAGTATGTATTTCATGACCATCACACGTATTTAATTGATGCAAGTCTTGATGCAGTACACGTATTTCATCCACTGGTCCTCAGAGAATTACATGTGTACGCTGAGCGTTAGTACATAATAATTATCGCGTTCGTGAGCACTTTCTATTTACGGCTTACAGATGTATGGTCTCCTGCACGCCTCGCACTGCTTTCACCCGCTTTAACAAGTGTATGCTCAGTAGAAGTTATACTGTATAATGCTCTAGACACGTTTTAACGTATTTTAATAGAAGTGTAGGATACTCTAGACACTTTGTTTTATCTTATTTTAATAGGTGTGTAGGATACTCACTTTGTTTTTTCTTATTTTAATAAGAGTGTAGGATACTCTAGACACTTTGTTTTAACTTATTTTAATAGGAGTGTAGGATAATCTAGACACTTTGTTTTAACGTATTTTAATAGGAGTGTAGGATACTCTAAAACACTTCGTTTTAGCTTATTTTAATAGGAGTGTAGGATACTCTAAAACACTTTGTTTTAACGTATTTTAATAGGAGTGTAGGATACTCTATACATTTTGTTTTCAACTTATTTTAATAGGAGTGTAGGATTCGCTAGACACTTTGTTTTAACTTATTTTATTAGGAGTGTAGGTTACTCTGTTTTAACTTATTTTATTAGGAGTGTAGGATACTCTAAAACACTTTGTTTTAACGTATTTTAATAGGAGTGTAGGATACTCTAGACACTTTGTTTTAACGTATATTAATAGGAGTGTAGGATACTAGACACTTTGTTTTAACTTATTTTATTAGGAGTGTAGGATACTCTAGACACTTTGTTTTAACGTATATTAATAGGAGTGTAGGATACTAGACACTTTGTTTTAACTTATTTTATTAGGAGTGTAGGGATAGAAGTGGTACGTAAAATTCAACAAGACCGACATCGCACCCGTGCGCAAATTCTCTTTATAAAATCCATGACTCATAAATGTGGCTTAGTTGTTATTGAGCTGTGACCAAACACCGTTGAAAGAGGCATACATATGCGTGTGTTCTCCTGTTAACTCGAGCTTCGTTCACTCGCCTGCAGAGAATATCGAGTGTACGCTCAGAGCAAGTACAAGATCAACATCTCACCCACGTACATCTACAGGAACGAGGCGGTACAGGTGTGTTTCTAGATATGGATGTCTTTTTTATAACTGATGTATTTCTGTGTAGAGATGTTCACCCTGTAGCAGGTGTTTTCCTATAAATAGATGCTGTCTATTTATAGCTGATGTATTTCTATGTAATAATGCTATTTGTTTGCGGCAGATATGTTTCTATAGATAGATGTTGTTTATTTATAATTATTGTATTTCTAGGTATATATGTTGTTTATGTATAGCAGATGTGTTTCTATGAATATATGTTGTGAATTTATCAATCATGATATGGATCGGGAGCCTCTCCCGCCCCGCCCCCATTGTCTTTTCGGTCGCTTGGCTTGGGGCCTGTTATTGGGATTTTTAGGTGCCAATATTTGGAGAAGCTAATAAGCACGCGAACACACGATTCGATTCACTTCAACGTACGAGTGCGTATATATAGGTCATTCGAATCAAATTATGTACATCCATCGTGTGTGTAGGAGACCTGTTAACCCACTATACTGCATGCACGTGCTGGGTAGAAGGGATCCTTCGGTACGAATACGCACAGGTGCCTCTGTAACTGGCCCATAGCACTCTCCGAGAGTGTTTGTGAGCTAAGCAAAGAACTGCTATTTAGCACTCAACTCGTGCCTGTGCTCGATACTGTGCGTGCGCTGGTACTTGGGGGTTGGTCCTTTGTATTACTATATGAGTCTGATTCCCATGTTGGTGGTTGCTTGCATTAGTACTCGGCCAAGCTTGTGTCTCTGTTCTTTTGCTCAGTTGATTTTATTTTTAATTTTTTGGAAGAATCTGTTCATAGCATCCCTCATCCGTCGGTCATAGCCTTTGTACTGATGTGTAGCCTCCTGAAATAATCACAGTTAAACCCTAAAACACTAAAACACTAAAACACACTATAGGTCGCGGCAAAGCGTTCTCGCCCAAAGACAAACATACCTCGAAAGGTACGCAATCGATCGCTGATGAAGACGAGCCAGCGTCTTGAACCCCGCTTGTATATCACTAGCACCTGACTATACAATCATAGTCGCAAAATGTCTTGGAATCCATTCATACTCCAAGCATCAGACTATAACAGTTTCAGTCTCAAAATGTCTTGAAATCCAGCCACACACCAAGCACGAGACTATAACAATTAGTCTCAATGTCTTGGAATCCAGCCATACACCAAGCACGAGACTAACAGTTTTAGTCTCAAAATGTCTTGGCATCTACATCAAGCACCTGACTATGTCAAATATAGTCTCAAAGTGTGTCCTGAACCCCACCCATACACCAAACACCTATTTCCGAGATATTCTCAAAGTGTGTTGAACCCCGCCTATATTACAAGCGCCTAACTATTTCAATAATAGTCTCAAACTGTCTGGAACTCCACTCATATACCAAGCACCATACTATATCAATTATAGTCTCATATTATTCTGAAATCCAATTCAAATACCAAGCACATGACTGTTCTAAAAATAGTTTCAGAGCGTCCGGGAATCCACTTATATACTAAGCACCGGACAAGTTCATATATATTCTCAGAGTGTAGTGTTATTGGGCGTACTTGGAGCGCTCTACATCACAATTTCTGACAGTATTAGTGGATAGAGCCAGAGCCCTCTTATCCTGTAGGTTGTTCCGGAATGCCAAGCATACCTGCCTGTGCAGAAAGCCTAAATATGGTGAACGTTCGAGAGTTGATGGTCACTTCTGTGCCGGAATTACGATTAGATATAACGGTATTGTTGACTCGGGCGGATGTGCACGGTCTTGTATGCGATCGTATCTGAAGTGCAGGTATATGTAGGCAGTATATATATATATATATATATATACACGTATACATACGTATGTGCATTCACAATATGATACAAATGCTGTCAAAAACCTCCATAGAGGAATGCGTAGACCTAGTGTATCCACGCAGAGAGATGTGTGATCTCTACTATGGGGCTTACACTGAGTCGTCAGTATAACTGGTGATATGCTGTGGGTACGTAGAGTCCGAGACAAACACTGACTATAGCTTAGAATGTCCCTGCTGGCTGAGATACCCGAAATCAGACGCGCACACGGGTCTGGTGAGGAAGAAACGCAGTTGTACAAAACCTGGTAATCAAATCATGCCAACGCCCATACCTATGAGTAGTTCACACAAGCTTTGATTTGTTTGACCTGGTCATGATGATTGTGCATATTGTGCTCAGCCGTAAATGCAGGATGACTGTACCCAGCCATGTGCACAACAAGAAGCTTTCATCCGAGTGTACATCGATCTTGGTACAGCAATCGCAGCGAAAAGAAATCCTGCCGCAATTGATCGGTGTAATTGCTTCACGGCGAGATCCGAAGATTACAATACAAAAGATTAACAGAGAATTTGTTGGTTGAACACATACAAATAAAGTTATCATCGAAGGCTGGGAGTAGGTTAATATACATACATAAATGTATCTATTTTATAAATACACTTATATCATGTCGACACTGTTATTTAAAATATGACCATAAGCTATCGAAGCAGGCCGTGATCTTCGATTCTGGCATTAATTTTCGTTGTTCCTCCGCCCGCATTCAGGACAGCAAGTGGCATTCTACATAAATCTGGGCCAGGCATAGATAGCGAGTGGTTACCTTATAGCCATGGAAGTAGACATAATCATCCCGCTCGATTTTTCATTTACTGACCTTTTCTGTACAATATCCATTGTTTATAGAACCACAACGCGCATTCGTCTGCTGTTCGAACAGCATCACAACGTATATATCTTAATCTATGTCCCTCAGTATACCCAAACATATAACGAACTTCAGAGTATATACATAAATATCATATCATATTGCAACTTTATTTTTGTTTAAAGATGAAGACCTGCGTACAGTATTGCACATAGTATTGTGCCATGTACATACCATAGAGGAGTGTACTCTATTTCAACACTAGTGTTGTTATTAGTCTGTTCGTGTTCTTTAAAAAAAAACGAATAATATACAGCAAGATTTTCCGTGTAGGTACAGATCTAATTAAAATATTCGCTTTCGTAAAGTTATTTCTGTGAATACTATATACAAAATAGATTGTCAAAGCTATTTTGAAGTTTTCCTGCGTTGTATATCATCGCTTTTACGTGTGCGCAAGAGTCGCTGTTTATGGTCGGATATAATACGTTTATAAAGCCAGCAGACCCACTTTCAACCGACTGTCTGTATCTACCTATCGAATGCTGTAGTGTACATGTATACAATAGTAAGTCGGTAAGCTATCCAGTGAGAATGGAACTTATTTTTGTAAACTTTGTTACACACAGGGGGAATATAAAATAATCCGACTATTTAAAAGTGGTTTTGTAGCATTCGTCATATGCATCACGTGTTATAAGGATGAGCAAGAAAGTGGTTGATTAGTAAATCGTTGTCGATTGATACCAACACATTCAACTTCAGCTTGCACGATTGAAGAAATCTTTTACCGGGTTTGAAGCTGAGGACGAACCTCTGACTATTCCTTTTATTAAAAAAAAGTACTAATTTTAGGGTTTAGGGTTTTAGCAGCTCTACAGATTGCATAATATGGCTTTACACTACTTCTTCTAGACACCGAGATATCGCTTCAATTCCTTACTATAGGTATCCATCGAGTGAGTTTTGGCGATATAAATTGAATCAAGACACCTCGCAAATCCTCCCCCAAATGCAAAATCTTGATCAGAACCTGTACATCCTATGCAGATGACTGTTCCATAATGTTTGTATAATCGACTGTGATCTGATGTATCGACTCCAACAGCACCAGTACATGCATCGTTGTTATTGACCACTCGCAATTGGTAGAACTGGCCGTGGGCCCAATTGGCATCCTCGATTGCGAATGTCCGAAGTGCACCAAATGTAATCAATCTTGTATATTCACTCTTACCACTCTGGTACCATGCGGAGGCAGCCAGCGCCGCGGTAGCACCCCCTCGAGAATGACCTGCAAAGGTCACTACTGCCCTATCTTTGCAATAAAGAGATATTTGTTTCTTGATATCATCTATTACGCTATAGTAAAAAGCGACCCAGCCTGTCGCGGCGGTGCCGACATAGTCCTTTCCATCGTAGGCGGCTATAAGTTGCGTGTCAAGAACTGAGAGGGCTTCATCCATAGAGTCCGTACCCTCGAAGAGCACTAAGCATTCATCATCATCACCTGTTATGACTTTATACTCATCCTTATAAATACCCGGTGCCACGTCCCAGTCTTTCGCCGCAACAACAAGAAGAAACCTATCCAACGTCCGCCGCAAATGGTTCTTCTCCCAGTCAGTAATAGGAGCAACATAGTTGTCGATACAATCACCACCGTCGTAATTACATTCCATCGTATTGCACTCAGAGTCGCATATACCTATTGCAAGAAGTAGAGTCAAGCTCACACTGTTAGTTTTCCAGAATCAGTAGAAGCTTCATATTTTTTAAATTAGGAAAAGTACCCAAATTACAACCGTATACATGATTAAATACTAATCATATTATCACTTACCATTTGAATTTTTCACCTTGTAGTCACAGACGGATTCTTCGCAACACTTAATCTCAAAAAACCAACAAGTGTCAACACCATTCCACTCTCCACGAGGCATTACGCGCCCAGGTGGTACAATGGTTTTAATATCCGAATTCGGATTCACAGTCGTATTCTTTGGATCCACGGCCACCACCATCAATACAGGGAGAAGGAACAATGCGATGCTGAGAACCTTCATTCTTCAAATCTCACTATTTACCAGAGAAAGCGTGTGAATACTGCATGTACAGATTCTTCTTCGTTGAATTTATATGCCTAGGTCCTACTAGTGTGATGATATATATACGGCTCGCATAAATTTGAACAACCCAGAAACAAAATGTATTTTTGTTTTTAACAAAACATGAACAATTTATTGAACAATTTATTTAATTAAAAAAAACATAAAGAGTATTTTGTTTTGTTTTGCTTTTGTTTCTAAAAACAATAAGATCACGTAATAGTCAAAATTTGTGTCGAGGAATGCTGGAGGTGGGGAACTGGAGGATCACTGGATCCAGTGTGAGTGAGGATCTGTGACCTGTGGCACTGTGTCCTAACTTCTAAATATCTGGGCTGGTTTAAGACAACACTTTTAGCTATGACGACATGTCCCGGCGTCATCTTTTATTACAGTCAGGAGTGCGATATGCGTCAGGATATTCTCTTAAGAAGGCAATTCGCGCCGGTCGGAAATTAGTTTGCTAAGAAGACATATCATTGTCGTATACCAGGCCAGCTATCAGTCTACCAAGTAGTGCCACCTACATTCAAATGATTGGTGACGAGGCACGAGCTCTTTGTCTTTTACTTCGAGCAGTGAGTCATGAAGGTGCTTACTCTAGGAGTTTACGACGGTTTTCCTTCTTGTCGTTCGTCGCAAATAAGAGTATCCGGCTGTACATATCGATGGAAACAAATCAAGAAAAAAATAAAAATAAACAGTTTACGACGACTTCGTTGCTAACCTCAAACCGGTTTCCATTAAAACTGATATAAATCGAATAGATATACGTTTGCGTTCAACTTTTATTCCCTACGCGGTCCTTTTGTATGCTTATAGGTGCAACTTGCGGGTTTCTACATTTCAGTGGGTACCACTTTTACGATACGAACCAGTCCTGTAAAAGAACTTAGGTAGACCCTACTGATCACATTATAACCGTTATAACATTTTAAAATTGAATTATTATGCGTTTACCTGCGACTTCTACATACCCCGTACCCCTATGAACTAAAAAGTGACGTGTCAACTGACAGTACTCACTCTAGAGTCACTATTCAGCCCGTGATTAGATATTCTTGGAAGTTCATCAAGTTTTTTTCCCAAAATAAATAGTACATAAATATTTAGAAAAAGTCAGACGTCCACACTCCACACTCCACCAGATTGAAATTTTAGGTGCGTAATTGCAAAGTCTTGTTGCTGTGCCTTCGAATTTTGTTTTATTCAAAAATATATCAAAAATGGATAAATAGCCTACTAAATAGAAAGCCATTTTAAAATAAATATAATCATACACCATAGATCTCTTTTATTTTTTAAAAATACTAAAATATTTAGTACCGAAGGGCGAAGTTATGCGGCTAAATAAGTAAATTCCTAAATAGTAAATAGAACAATATTTTTTATTTTTTTATTTGTTTTATATTTTTAAACAAAAAGCTTGGTCAATTCTCAAATTTTACCTTTTTTAAATATAAAACAGATAGCAGGGAGGCGGGGTTTTTTATACAAAAACTTTTATTGTGTCGGCCTGACTCGTACACATCACATAAGTGACATAACAGCTGAAAGTATTTTATATTAGAAAACCCTAAAAACCCTAGTACCTGCACAGTACTGTACACAACTGACTCAGGTACACACTACACACAGCTACACAGTCACGCCAACATTTGAACATGGCCTCTGTCCTTCAATTTTAGAAACTGAGCCTGCCCAAAGCGGCAGAGCAGCCCAGGCCGGCAGGCCAACAACCCACCAGAGGTGGGGGCCCGCCTACTCTAGGTTCAAATGATATTTGCTCTGAGATGTGAGTTCTGACTCCTTAGAGTCTGATGTATGTACCAAAGAATGCTGCTCTTCGAGTAAAAACCTTCCATATTGCAATCGTGTTTGTTTAAAATATAGATACTCAATAGAGTAGATGAATAAGTGAATGAGTATAGACACAAGTAGTTATTTAAGTACACCACCAGCGCAGACAAAAACTAAAAAGGAGAGTGATCGGAGTCTTGTTCTCTAGAGAGAGTATATAGGGCTATTGCCAATTTGCCATAGGGCAATCAAGCAGTGACCTAGTTTTGACATCGACAACTCCAAATCACTGAAAACATTTCCTAAGAAGTAGGAGGAGGTTTTAAGCTTGCCCTTCTGGCAACTTTGTTAACAAACTTAAACCTGGTTTTTCACCGCATTGTAACTTGTTCACACTATAACCTTGGTTACTGAACCATGTTCTAACTTTGCATTTTTGTATACACTTTTATTAAATATGAAAGAGAAGATAAATAGTAATAAAAGGATAGTTGTATAAATTGAAAGTAAATAGTTGTTATTAGGTTATGGGCTTATATTTGCCACTGTCTACTCTTTTATCAAAATGCTCAGCTCCACCGACGCTGACGCTACTGCTGGCCCCACTCGCATAAAGTGGACACGCCTTGCTCTCTCTGGTGATAACTATGATTGCTGGGATGCTTATCTCTACCTTGCTGCCCTCGGTGACTATGAATGGGACCTCAACCCCATTCTTAACTACTGTGAGCTACTTAAGCCAACCCTTCTACCTGGTACTAAACCTGTTCCGTATGAACCCTTCAAGAAGGTTGACAGCACCACGGAATTCCGTAACCGGAAGTAGATTCTTGGTTCTTACCGAACCACTCGCAATCTTCTTCTGAGGTCCTTTTCTGATGAACTCCAGGAGCCCCGCAGCAAAGAAACGATTATGAAGGACCCGTGGACTATCTATGACAATAACCGCCAGTCCACAAATCAGTCAAAGTCTCTCAACCAATTAACATGGCTTACCTCCGTGTCCTCCAAGTTGGCTTCGACGAAGACACTCGAGCATGAGCTATTAGATGCAAAAAAAAATGCAGACTGATGCTGAACTTCAGGGACTTCCTTTTACGAGCGATTTTATCAACGATTGTTACTTAACCGGCCTCTCGCAGAAAGATCAAGAACATGCCAGTCAGTATCGGATCTGCCTTGTTTCGACTTAAAAAACCCCCCATTCTTTTTTCCAAACGCGAAAATGCCAATTATTTTTTTTACCAAACTGGAGGAAACTGCCTTATTTTAATGCAGACTTTCTTGAAATAAATTGAGACTATGGACCAAAATTTTCAACAACTATTTCAAAATTTATTTCAACAAATTGTTTTAAAAAATATTTTCATATTCTGAGCCTCGGGAACTTGAACGGAGACTGGGGATCAAAATTTGACTTCAACAACTGTTTCAAAAACTGTTTCAAAAAATTGCGTTGGCAAACAATACATTGACGTCGATGCCCTCGACAAAGTTAGGGCGCCGCGACCACGAAAAATGAAACTGCAAATAAGCAATCTGCCGACGGAGACTCAAGAAACTATATTTTCAAAAAGCTACAACCAGGAGCTTCGTAGTGTCAACAAGCATACTCGTACAGTGTATGACGAGTCGCTACTGCGCGCTACATCATACACGGATCAGGAGCTTAAGTGGATGTTTAACCTAGAAAGCGAGCGGGAAAAAGCCATGTTTTTCGGAAATACAAATTTGGTGAATGCGATTCGACAAATTGTCGACTATAGAACTTATTTATGGGCTGTAGTAGACAATCTACATTATGTCCAACCTAAAGTTGCGGTAAAACTCTTGGAAGTGACCAAGCAGCCGATCCAACTGGCGGAATCGACAGAAATCGTCAAATCTCGAATCATTCCTGAACACGATATCTTACATATAGTGTACAGCGTCTTGAACGTGTCACGATCTTTTTTGGTACCAGAAGTAATTATTCAAACGTACAGCAACAAAATGACGGACAATGAATACAGCCTCAGATAAATCTATGCAATATCTCATGACGAGGACAAAGACCAAAGACCTTGCACGCGTTAAACTCATCGTCAACGCACACCACGACGTAAAACACTGCATGCGACTGGACAATGTAATATACGACAGGCTGGTTCAGACAGGATTTGTGGTTCCAAAAACGGATCATTTGCTAGTGTTCTACCTTTACTATATATATCAACAGACAACATCGCTGTTACGCAGAGGTTTCATGTATACACAACAAACATTCTCGCATCACTGGCGACAACGTCCGGACTGAACCAACTTCTCGAAGGCTCGCGGGACCAACTAAATTTCTAGCGTTGTAGTACTGAAGTTATGACACATCTGGTTCTACACAACAATGTTACGCTACTTAAGTCCCTTATTTTATCTAGTGCAACCTTTGATGTAAGTGAATCCAGTCTACCGATCAACTGTTCACCGGAGATTTTGGACGTCATGTTTGAAGCCAACTGGTGAAGAATATCGATTTTGCCGTGGTTGGATCAAATTCGGATGAAATCCAGTGTACATTTGCGAATCAAGCAACACGTACTCGCAACGGAACAAGAAATGTCTACAGATCACCGACCTCTGATTCTGGCCTTTACCAAGGAGTACAATTCCTACAATATATACCAAGATTTTGAGTTTGATACAATTTTTGGCTCACCGGTCTCTGCACACGAGCAGAGTTTGTTGGAGCACGTCGTGAAGAACAATTCAAAAGCTACCATTGTAATATACCTAGTTGATCCTCCGATCAGCCAACCAGATGTGCCAGTCTGATGAAGACTAAGTCGGTAATTCTGGATAAGTGGCATGTTATTGGTTAAGACAATAACTAAGGATATCTTTATTTTATTTATTCTTCTAAAGATAGGATTTTATGAGTCTCTCGGATTCGCCCCAATGAAACATACCATAGTTTCTAATAGAGCGACAACGAAACATTAAATAAAATCCCTTCGGCGGAAACAGTACTGAGAGGATTATATATAGGCAATGTCTCCGCCGCACAATCCCTCAGAATATTGCTGTTTTCACGAGGCATACCTAACTTTACTAAATGTCTTATTTCGTTTATTTACTTTGATATTTTCACGATACTTAGAATTTACCTACGCGTTTATTTATTCTAAGGCGTTAATATCGCCTTGAGAGGCCGAATCTTACACAGGGCCGTCAGGCACATTGGCGTCATCGCTGTGCAGGAAGACGTGATCCGGCCCTATGGTCGCTCGTGCCTGGCACTGGACGGATACACGTCATACAGTGGGGCGGGCGAGTATTATTGATCGAATTTCCTCGGCAACACGACGTTTGTCCACAACTCTGGCACAAGTCACCAAATTGCTGTGCTGTCAAGCAAGTTTGGTCGAGTGGATTGCTCAGCTGTCGTGGTCGAGTACAACGGTGTATCTATCGCGAACCCTCACCTGACTGAGGGACGGTTTGACGATCGGCTGTACAAACTGTTCCCGCGAGCAAAGTGCCCAGAGGTCGAAAACATCCTGTCCAAGACCAGTCCGGGCATTATAGTCGGCGACTGCAATGCATGTGATTGCACATGCGGACCGTGTTGGATCAGCGATTTTACACAACTACGCGCGGTTTGCGGACGAGTCCAAAAATGTGTTTCGCGAATACTACGGCTCCGTTCACACGTGTCTGCGAAATCGAGGCTATTCCCACCGAAATCTCTTACCAAGTCTCCGTGTACAGGGGAGACTGTATATATCAGAGAGCAACTACACAACTTGGGGAGCCTTTGACGCGATCACAATGCGATCGTGACAATGTGGTAATAATCCGAACAATGTGGGCAATAAAAATATTTCACGTACCTCTAAATGAGATTTCCTTTGGGACTCGTGCTGGTGCTTGTGCTCATACTCGCAACCGTAATTGTGAGGCTGAGGTCAAATGTCCCTCGGATAGTGTATGACTGCAAGGCCAAGTGTGCGGCCAAAAAGGTGCGACGGAGACGACCAAGACCGATCCGGTCACCGGCACCGACAACTTCGCTACTACGTCCGCCACTATTGGCGTCAACCCAGAGTTCAAGTTCTGTACTAGTGCGGGATCCGTGAATATATCCAAGACCCTATATCTGGCTCTATCATGGACACTCAGCAACGTGCAACGGACCGGCGTCGGAGACACCATCTCGCACAAGGGTCCTGACCGACCAACGACACCGTCAACTTTTGGGCGCCAGTTCAAAAACGCGAGTGACAAAACTGTACAAATGGGGAATTCCTTCACAGGACGCATCAACCTCAACAATTGCATCTTTTATCGCGTTGGACAAGTGATCCGCATCGGTGTTGAGGCGCAGGACTATGTGTCGACAAACTGCGAGTTTCGGAACTCACCAAACTTGATCTACGTCGGCGCATATCAAGGTCCACCAAAGATGTCGCAACGTTCAAGTTTACAAAGTGTGTTCTAGGTGACCGCGTGAGCAATATCAAAAATCCGGACAATTACGTACATCGACTTTACTGTTAAAAACGTGATTGTCGACATTTTCATCATTTTCGTCCGAAGACAAATCAGACTCAGCCAATGCACACCGTTCGGGTTCAGTGCATCATCGATGGCTGTAGCAGCAAAGCGACATATTTATTAATTAAACGCGCTGCTCGTATTGTTATTATTACATGCCTATTGCTGTGTAACAACTGGGCACGCAATAATATTAACATAAAAATATCTTAATAGTATATTCCGCGCAGTATTGATGTCCCTGTCGGCAACGTATCCACAGTTCCATACACATGGACAAGTAAATATCTTCTTTGAGCCCAGATTCCAGTTAATCCGTAGGCAAGATCCACATGTCTTAAATGTTTACGCCTCGTCGCAGACGACCACGGTGCAGTCCTTATACAGCGACGCCTTGTTTATCAGCATCTTCCGGAATGCAAAGTGACTCCATGTTAGCATATTGCGCGCCGTCTTTTGATCGAGCTTCCTGTCCTTCTTATGTACCATACTCGACGTTTCGAACTTGAGGATTAGGATTACCTCGTGGATTGTACACAGCCAGTGGGCCATCTTTCAGTGTAGCTCTCTCACTCGATCCTTGACCATGTCCATCATCCGATACCAAGCTTTGCGCATTCTCCGCTTCCGCTAAGAATTCCCCTCCTTGTCAATTCGCCCCTGTAGTAGGTTAATCTGCTTGCACATCCAGAATAGTTGCTTCATATCCCCGGCACCCCACTCAGTCGATATTCCAAGAGTATCAAAGGTTGTCTGGAATGATCTCACACCAGGGTCCAGAGCGGCAGTCCACTTAGCTCCAATTTCAGGTTCAGGTCTAAGGCTTGCGTCGACGGTCCGTGGTACAATCACATAGTAATGTCCAAGCCTATCTCGTTTGAACAGCACGGTACTATCGATCTCAGGTATTTCCTCGATAGTCATCAGGCAGCATGTCAAATACTATAGTAAAAAAGGACCGACGTGAACGTATCGTGTTAGAACATAAGCACAAATTCCGTCTTCGACCCTTCCTTGGCTGCACTCTGGACCTGACGCGCGAGTACCGACACTGCCTCGGCATGTTTACGTTTGGACCTGTATGACATGTCAAAGGAATCATTTGTCTCATTTTTTTTTCATTCTTGGCCTGGATGGTACTCAACGCATCTACAAAGGTGTGGATTGCAGCATCACGTATGCTCTCCTGATAATCCGTATACCAGGGGTACAACATCAAATTCCTGGACGACTTCAAGCGGCGCGCTTGAACAGAGCGATCCGCTTCATTTTACTCTTGGGGAGATTCGTCCGGTT